TGAGGGCCCCTGGGCCCTCCTTTACCTGTCTTCCCAGATTGTAGAAAAACTGCTCCAGACCTTGCAAACACTATAGATACTGAGTTATTTTTAATTTTCATGGATTTATTAATATGTGAAACTTTCACACCATTCAGAAAAAAATAACAGGAATAAGAGAAAGGTAAAGTTTATGCAGGAAAGTTGTAATAGTTGGATCAAGGTGAAGAAAAGCTTGTTGAATTTTCCTTGAACCTTCTTTGTAAATCTGAGTCCTAAAAATGGCCCTTCTAGTGGTGTAGCTGCTCGTCATGGCCACAAGGTGGCAGTAGACTCATTTTTGGAATTTTAACACACTGCTATGAAAAGAACAGGAAAATGTTACTCTCTCAAAAGCTGGCTCTAGGAGGAGAAAGGTGTTAAAAAAAGAAAATCTCAGAAGGCAAGAATCACCAAGAAAATTCAAACTGCATTTGAGTAGTTCATATTCAAATAACTAGGCTGGAAAGTGGGAAAACGCTGAAGAAATGATCAATTGGAGAAATCTAGTTTCAATTCCTGGATGCTATGATCTTACCTGAGTCAGCGGTGAGTGGGTCTCACGTGTAAAATGTAGAATTGAAACTCAGGAGTCTTTCTTGCCAGTTTTTAAAAAAGACTCCTCTTTTTTATTTGACTGAATATGGTAACTAATATTACTGTCCTGAGTTTTGGTTGTCAGAGGCAGTGAGACTAGAGGAGAATGGAAGATAACAATAAGGGAAGAAGAAGCAGTTGGCGTCGAACACAGAGGAAGGCCTGGCAATGAAATGGTTTGAGTTTCTGTGCTGAGAAAAGGACATAAAGCCGGTTCCGAATAAGTTAACCCGTGAACAAGAACTCGCTGTTACTCATGGTCTACAGCTTCTGGCACACCAGAGTCTATAGCTCTTTCATTATCTTCTCATTACTTCAGAGCATCCAAATCTTCCCTCTTTTGTCATGCCCACTGTTATAAAACTATTTGCAACTCTTTTCCTCCTCAGAGTTAAAGTCCACTCACCAGAGGACATGTCTTTCCAAATTTAATTGAATCTATGGATCAAAATTCCTTGTCTCATCCCTACCTTTCTTATTTTTGTGGCTATTTTAGGATTGTTACATCCTTTCAGAAACCACCTCTGTGGCAGTCTAGTAGCAGCACCCAATTAA